CTCTTTTCAGATAAAAGTAAATTTTGCATTTCATTTGGAAATCAAGGTCTGGAGTCTGTAGGAAGACTGGAGAGGCACAGAATCCAAGCTGCTTGAAGTCCAGAGTGAAGTTTCTGAAGTCAGTGATGATTTGGGGTGCCGTGACGTCTGCTGGTGTTGGTCCATTGTGTTTTATCAAGTCCAAAGTCAATGCAGCCGTCTACCAGGAGATTTTGGAGCACTTTATGCTTCCATCTGCTGACAAGCTTTATGGAGATTCTGATTTCCTTTTCCAGCAGGACTTTAGCACCTGCCCACAGGGCCAAAACCACTTCCAAGTGCTCACACCTCACTGATGCTGGAGTTTGTGCTAAAGGAGCCTCGACCAAGTATTGAGTGCATAAATTAACATATTTTAAAGAACTTGAACTTTTCTGTTTTGCAAATCCTTTTTTTGATTGATCTTAGGAAATATTCTAATATTTTGAGATACTGGATTTTTGACTTTCATGATCTGTAAGCTCTAATCATCAAAATTAAAACAAGAAAAAAAACGTTTGAAATGTTTTACTTTACATGTAATGAAGCTAGAATATATGAAAGTTTCACTTTTTGAAATAAGTTATAAAAAATTTTTTCATGATATTCAAATTGTTTGAGATGCACCTGTAATGTACAATATAACATTAAAAAAAAAACTCACGTTGGATCTTCCAAGGCTACTTTGGTTTCTTCCAGCTCTTGAGCCTGTTTCAACCAGGGCAGCTTGGCTTCAACAGGTTGATTCTCTGAGAAAGCAATAAACAAACAAACAAACACAATATTGGATAACATTATTGATAATCAAAAAAAGTAATCATGCACCGAGTAGAGCAATTAAACCTATCTTCCTCTCTGTTGACAGATATCACCAAATCTGATCTAACTAAAAAAGCCAAAATATTTTAATTCTACTTAAAAGGCCATTTTATACAAGTATGCATTTTTATGCTGATAAATGCGACTTTGATCATGCTGCAAAACCTCCTGGTTAAGCTAGTTAAAATGCCTGATGGAAACTAGCACACCAGCATCTAATACACAACAGAAACCGCTCTTTTTATAGGTATTGAAACTCTAGCTAACCACAGTACAGAATTTAATCTCAGATATTAAAAAATTATAAAAACATTTTTGAGGTTCATAATTGTAAAAAGTGGTGCTTGGCTACTTATCAGAGGCCATTAGTTGAGAGTGGTGTGGAAAAATCAATTCAAAGATCTGGGCTGATTACCAAAAGGTTGTAGGTTCAAGCCCTGTAAGTGGTGATCCACAAACCATCGCCCATTGTACTCTTGAGCAATACGCACAACCTCAGGTTACTCTGAGGAGGACTGTCAAGGTATTAAGTGTTCTGTAAACTGTTTTGGATGAAAGAGTCAGATAAAAGATGACAAAAAGATACAGTAAGCCAAGTCGGTGAGAGATCAGTGCTGAGGGACACTCACATTTCACCAGAAACCCTTCCTGCTATGAACATCTGTAGTACCATCACTGGGTCATACGTCTTAGTGAAGGTTACAAAGCCAGTTTGAGTCTGGCTGCTTCCCCTCCAACCCCCAACCCAAACACAGCTAATAAAGCTCAACATAAATCTCCATGTGACAACCAAATATTTATGCAAGCAACCATTTATTGATCTGGAAGAGGATTATCACAGCTGTCGGTGACTGTGGGACAGCAGTAAAGTCTCGCGGCAGAACATGCCTAGGGCTCAGGGTTTGGCTCTTCAGTCGGGGTTTCTGGGTTTCTCTGATGGCAGACGTCCTCAGATTTGGCGTGCGGGAAGGTCGAGATGAATTAGCAGGCAATGGAGCCTCTGTCATTTCAACCCACTGAGTTTTTACAAGCATGTCAGGCTCAAGTTAAGTGTGGAATTGATTGATTCGAAGATAATTATTGGTGAAAAAAAAGCGCACAGATGTTTCTGATTAGGGTTACTAGAATTTTGGCATTGTTGCGTAACTGATATTACATTTAAAGGAATACAATACTGTTCAAAAGTTTGGGGTTGGAGAGATTTTTTAATGTTTTTGAAAAGTCTCTTATGCTCACCAAGGTTACAATTATTTAATCAAAAATACAGTAAAAACAGTAATATTCTGAAATATTATTACAATTTCAAATAACTGTTTTCTATTTGAATATATTTTAAAATGTAATTTATTCCTGTGATGCAAAGCTTGAATTTTCAGCAGCATCATTACTCCAGACTTCAGTGAAATCATTCTAATATGCTGATCTGCTGCTCAAGAAGCATTTATTAGTATTATTAACGTTGAATACAACTGAGCTGCTTAATATTTTAGCAGAAACCATGTCTTTACTGCCACTTTTGATTCATTTAATGCATTCCTTCCGAATAAAAGGAGCTGCAGTGGAGTGATTACTGAGGGGAAATTGCTGTCGTTCTGCTCCACTCACATACTCTTTCTAATACTAAGTTAAATCAAAGGTGTAAACAAAAATAGCAACCAGGTTCCACTCTTTCTTTCAAAGGCATCAGTGCACCACTCCAAATTGGTTTCTTCACAATGAAAGATTTTGACTGACCTAAAATTCCCTTCACACTGCCAAATACCAACACCCCGCCCCCCAATCCGGCCTCCCCTCATCAAGGGCTTGGCCATAGCTCTTGGCACACAGGCAGGCAGTAATAGAC